TAACTGCTAAATCATTGAAGTGGAAAGTCTGGGGATGTTAGAGTCTGTAAACAAGTCTGTATGGCGCCTGGCAAAATGCCAGAGGGAGTGGTTTGTGAAGTAACGCCAGCAAGCCATTAAGTGTGGAGATTCCTTATTGGTTGACTGCAAGCCATTAAGTGTGGAGATTTCTTATTGGTTGACTGATGTATCTAGTTTATGCTAATTAAGATAAGCTGTGTGGAATGTATAAATACCGCTCCTGTCCTGCAATAAATGGCTCCTACTCCTGCTGTATCAATCTACACAAGTTGTTCCTCACCCCCCGGTTATTTTGCCCAGCCAGCCGGCCTTCGGCATGGGGAATTTGGATCAGGTCATTGAAACCATTGATCACTCTGATCATTAGAAAACAAGAATGACTTTTCAATCCCAATCTAAGTACACAATATCACTTAAAAAATGCTTTACAAAATAAACCTGAATTTGACCCAAGTCTGGGACAGAAGAATGTGTTAAAGATCATTGAGATACCATCAAGAAGGTCCGGAATGTGGTCCAGAAAGATCAACATGATTTAACAAATTGCAAGGAAAAGTAAAGGAGGAGGAGTATAAAGATTTAAAAAGTTCTAAGAATATATGCAATTTGTAGACCTTATTGGGTCATGTTTCAAACAAACCAAATGTGAAGGTATATGGGGAAATTGGAACATTGACAAAGATTTTGATTTTAAAGAATGGTTAATTTAAGTGTAATAATTGTGTACAGTAGTTACATTTCATATCTGTCTCTTATTTTATAGGAAACAGATAGGGAGATAGTTAAGGATAAAATGACATGATATCTAGGATTTACTTTTTTTAAAAAATCCAAAATTGGGGATGTGGTGATAGGTGGGGAGAATGACAGAGAAAGACTGACCAGATGTTGGAAATTGTTGAATTTAAAAAATTGGGTATATAGGAGATTATTATTCTTTCTCCTTTTCTATATGTTCAGATTTTTCCCTATTAAGTATATTTCTCATTCACTTGATAATGAGCTAATGTTTTTGTCTTCTTGCTATTATGGGGATCCAGACACTCTCAGCTATAAGGCTTTTGAATTTCTGTTTCATTTAGATTCTCAGATACATTTTGAATGCAAGTTCACACCAATACATTATAGTGCTTCATTGACCATTAAGCACTCTGTTATGTGTTGGTATATAAAATATTAAATATATGTATTTATTTAAATACGTATATTCATAAAATGTATGTTTTCTATAACTTCCCATAATCCTTAAAGATTTTATAGTTTTTGAAGATGGTTACCACATCTTTTTTTTTAAGTCATAAATGGGATTAATTTTAGCCAGCTGACTTGGGTTAGATGTTTTGACAATTGAGATAATAAAACAATTTTGTACAGAGGGTCATTGTGAAATTTAGAATTTTCACCTTTGAATATCTTCATGTCCTGGATATGATAAGCAATCACTAGTTAGAAATGAATTTAACCCAGATTATGTGGAATCTAACTCTATTATAGAATTTTAAAATCATTGATTAATTTTATTCAGGTGCAGTTTTCTTTTACATCTTGTGATGGATACTGTCCTACTCTTTTCTGAATAATCCTAAAAATCTTAAATTATATATTTAATGTAATATTAAACTGAAATATTCTTTTAAGCAATAGAGATCTGGTTTTGGAACAGAATGTTCTCTGGTTTAGATTAAGTAATCAGTTTGAAAATGACTGACAGGTGTGTAGTTCTGAATTTAAGTTATTTCCTACCTTCAGAAACTAAACTGTGTTCTTTATAATAGATTGTCTTGTAATATGATCTGTCTCTGGTGTAGTTTTTTAAAGCCCTTTTGAAGTAAAAGCAAAGTGAGTAGAATAGGAATCAAAAAATTTTTAACATTTTTTAGTTATACATGACAGTAGAATTCATTTTGATATAATTATACATGCATGGAATATATCTTATTCTAATTAGCACCCCATTCTTATGGATGTACATACTGGTGGGATTCACTCTATGATAATATAGAATATAAGAATATAGGAAAATTGTTACAGATTCATTCCACTGTTTCTTCTTTTCCTATCCCCCTTTGCCTAATCTCCTGAATATCTATTCTATTCTTCCCTTTCCCCCTTATTGTGGGTTAGCTTCCACAAATCAGAGAAAACACTGGACCTTTGGCTTTTTAGGACTGGCTTATTTCACTTAGCATGATAATCTCCACATTTATCCATTTATTCATGAATGTCATAAAATCATTCTTCCTTATGGCTGAGTAATACTCCATTGTGTACATATACCACATTTTCTTTATTCATTCATTTCTTTTTTAATTTATATATGACAGTGAAATGCATTACAATTCTTATTACAAATATAAAGCACATTTTTTCATATCTCTGTTGTATATATAGTATATTCACACTAATTTGTGTCTTCATACCTGTAGTTTGGATAATAATGATCATTACATTTCACTATCATTAATTACCCCGTGCCTGCTACCTGCCCCTCCCACCCCCTGCCCTATCTAGAGTTCCTCTATTCTTCCCATGCTCCCTCTCCCTATCCCACTATGAATCAGTCTCCTTATATCAAAGAAAATATTCAACATTTGGTTTTTTGGGATTGGCCAACTTCACTTAGCATTATCTAACTCAACCCATTTACCTGCATATGCCATGATTTTATTCTCTTATTGCTGAATAATATTCCATTGAGTATATATGCCACATTTTTTTTAATGCATTCATCTCTTGAAGGGAATCTATGTTGGTTCCACAGTTTAGATATTGTGAATTGTCCTGCTATAAACATTGATGTGGCTGTGTCCCTGTAGTATGCTGTTTTTAAGTCCTTTGAGTATAGATAGGATTCTATACCTGGAAGATCCTAAAAGTTCCACCAGAAAACTTCTAGAACTAGTAAATGAATTCAGCAAAGTAGCAGGATATAAAATCAACACTCATTTATTTATTCATTCACTTGTTGAAGGGCTCCTTAGCTGTTGTGAATTGAGCTGCTATAAACATTGGTGTGGCTGCATCACTGTAGTATTCTGATTTTAAATCCTTTGGATATATACTGAGGAGTGGAATAGCTGGGTCAAATGGTGGGTCCATTCCTAGTTTTTTGAGGAATCTCCATACTGCTTTCTGGAAAGATTGCACCAATTTGCAGTCTCACCAGCAATGTATGAGTGTACATTTCCCCCCATATTCTCTCCAACATTTATTGTTATTTGTATTCTTAATTATTGTCATTCTGACTGAAGTGAGATGGATCTCAGTGTAGTTTTAATTTTCATTTCTCTAATTGCTAGATATGTTGAACATTTTTTCATATATGTTAACCATTCATAAATTTCTTCTTCTGAAAAGTGTCTGTTCAGTTCCTTTGCCCATTTATCGATTGGGTTGTTTTTTTGGTATGAAGTATTTTGAATTCTTTATATATATCCTAGAAACTAATGCTGCATCTGAGGTGCAGGTGGTACAGATTTTCTCCCATTCTATAGTCTCTTTCTTCATGCTGTTGATTGTTTCCTTTGCTGGGAAGAAACGTTTTAGTTTGATGTCAAACTTTTTAGTTTGATTTTTTATTTTACTTCTTGTGCTTTAGGATTCCTTATTAAGAAAGTCAGTTTCTGAGCTGATATGTTAGCATGTTGGGTCTACATTTTCTTTTAGTATGTATGGGTTTTCTGATCTCAATTCTAGGTATTTGATCCACTTTTGAGTTTTGTACAGGGTGAGAGGGATTAAATTTCATATTCCTACATATGGATTTCCAGTTTTTCCAGCACCATTTGTTGAAGAGGCTATCTTTTCCCCAATATATGTTTTAGGCTCCTTTGTCTAGAATGAGGTAACTGGGTTTTTGTGGTTTAGCTCTGTATCTTCTGTTCCATTGGTCTCTTGCCTGTTTTGGTGCCAAAACCATGCTGTTTTTGTTACTGTAGCTCTGTAGTATCATTGAAGGTTTGAGATTTTGATAGGCATCAATTTGGAGAGACAAAAATTCCTTAGTGAGATTTCAACAATACTACATCTAGGTTCTCTGTCAGCTGTTGCTTTGTTTTTGGCCCTTTTATGAGATGGTCTGCTCAGCGATTTTTACTGTACTTGCATTGTTGAATAGTGGGCCCAAACTCCTAATTTTTTGGCATGAGTTCTTTATGATTGGGCTTGTCCATGTAAAATAGCAACTCTAAGGAAATAAGATTATTCCAAACCAGATACGAGTAATCATAGCCTGGGAACAGTGACTCAAGTTATATTTAATGGCATGCTTCCTTGTGGAACTTTGAGCCATAAAACCATGGTCATTAAATAATATTAACCCAGTGGTACCTGGGTTGCAGCAAAATGGAGAAATCTTTTCCATAGGTTTCCGGTACAGCATTCTTAGCCTTAAGGTAGGTGAAAGGGGTCTGCTAAGCTAGCAATACGTAAGTTTTACTTAACAGTCATTTTGGCTCTCGACCTACAACATTCAGTCTCTCCAAAATCACCATTTTCCAGTAGGTGGAGGTCAAAACAGGCTGTAGGTTAATATAGATGCGGCTTCTTAAGGGAACTTAATTCCACAGACTCCTGACTTGACATTGTTTCAATTTTTGCTAATCTCCAAAAGATGAGATGGTAAACTGTTGACTGAACAACCAAAAAACAAAAACCTGCCCATGCCTAAGTACTGAGAAGGAAGCAACTTGGTTATTAAGTCCAAGATAGTGGAAGGAGGGACATTCCTCACCAAGCAGCAGTCGCCCGGGCCAGGCGAGAGGAAACGGGCTCTAGCCAGAGGGAATACCTTAAAGTCAGGAAGTCGTTAAAGAGCCAGAGGTTTTTATGGCTCAGGGTGAGGCCAGCGGGTCTGCCGCAGAGGCCAGCAGCTAAGCGAACCCGGAAGCGGTTGCTGGAGGGCACTGTGAGTCGAGCTGGGCCCACGTCTCTGCCCAGTCCCGCGGCGCGACGCGTAGCGGGTCCCAGCGCAAGCGCACGCCCCGGGCGCATTACGTGGCGCAGGGGTCATGGCAGGGAGCGAGCCGCGCAGCGGAACCAGCTCCTCCCCGCCGCCCCCGAGCGACTGGGGCCGCCTGGAGGCTGCCATCCTCAGCGGCTGGAGGACGTTCTGGCAGTCGGTGGGCAAGGAGAGGACTGTGCGGACGGCCTCCCGAGAGGAGGCGGACGAGGACACCAGCACCTTGACGCAGCTGCCGGTGAGCCAGGGCCGCCGAGGCCGCCCGGGCCTCACACTGCGGGCCTCCGCGGTCCCCGCTCCTGCTGCCATTTCAGGCTGTGTAGCCGGGCAGTAGCAGTTGACAGGAACGGCCTTGGTGTTGACCCTGGTCCTCCCCAGCTAGCGAACGTCACAGGACACCTTGTGGCTGTCCTGCTGACCAGCTAGAGCACTGCTCTCTTATCTGTCCCTGAGGCAGCCCTGGGTCCCAGGACAGCCTGGACATCCGGGTGAGAAACAGGACTTTCCGACCCAGGGTCAGTTTAGGAAATTCTTCCAGCATTTAGGTTCTCAGCAGCTTTTATCCCCGGCTCAGAGTATTAAACACTCTCCCAGGACGTTGCTGTTACCTAATTGTGTATTAGGATCAAAACTGCCACTTGGTTGAAAGTAAGTGCCTTAAGTTACAACAGGCCACAAAGATTATACTAGTTATCTAGTGTTAAAACTTTGTAGGCAGATAGAAAAGTGGAGAGAACAGAAATCCCTGAAAATTTCAATTCTGTGTATCATTTGGATTATTGACATCTTGCTCTATTGTTCATCCCAAATTGGAAACTGCAAGATCAGAATGCCTCCAAGGTTCTCCTCCTTTCAGTGTTCTTTGAAACAGTTTAATAAATTATAGATAGGAAATCAGATAACAAATTTCCATTCTTTAATTTGATCTAATGGTAAGATCAGAAATTTGTTCACTTAATAAAGGTTTTATTTTGAAGAATAAGTTATTTCCTTAGCTAATTAACTTAAGTAAATGCTATATCAAAATAGCCATGAGAAGAAATTGCGGAGCTTATAATTATTTTGCTTGAAAAATAGCAGGACAGTAGTTGGTTTTTCAAGAATGTTTCAGTGTGTCAGAAATTAAAGTGTCCAGTTTTTTTCCTCCTGATGGCAGGAAAATTTCTGCAGAAAGTATATATATTTAACTATTAAAACTGCTGACTAGTTCAGTTGACCTCTAGTTGTTCAGTATAATTCTTTGTTAATTGTTCAACTTATCATCAACAATAATTTTCCAAGATAAATTATTTATTCCTTTTTCTGAGCTACTGCTTTCTTCTGTTGCAGATTGATGTCCAGCTATATATTTTGTCATTTCTTTCACCCCATGATCTGTGTCAGCTGGGAAGTACAAATCATTATTGGAACGAAACTGTACGAGATCCAATTCTGTGGAGATACTTTCTGTTGCGAGATCTTCCTTCTTGGTCTTCTGTTGACTGGAAGTCTCTTCCAGATGTAGAAATCTTAAAAAAGCCTATATCTGAGGTCACTGACAATGCATCTTTTGATTACATGGCAGTGTAAGTATCTAGTTTTATGAATTAAAAAGAGATATTCGTTTTCAACCTATAAAGAGTCCACATTTGCTCAGGCCCTACTATTGATTTTTTGTATGGATTTTGAGTCTTAAGTGTTCTGTTGTCAAAATTAGAGGTTGAGTTAATTGACTTCCTTCATAGACCTTTCAGCTTTAACATTTCCCTGTGGTGCCTAACCAGTATTTTAATAAAAAATACCTAAGCTAAATGGCTTAAAGGAGGAAAGGTTTATTTTGCTTCAGTTTCAGAGGTTTTAGTCCCTGGTCTATTGGCGCTATTGGTTTAGGGCCTGTGGCTGAACAGTATATCATGGTGGAAGTATAGCAAAGGACACTGCCCACCTCATGGCAGCTGGAAAGCAAAGAGAGAAAGGAAAGCCTGGGGTCCCAATATTACCAGCAAGGGCATAGCCCCAGTAACCTGACTTCCTTCAGTAGGCCCTATCTCCCATTGGTGCCACAGACTGGTGACCAAGCCTTTAGCATATGGGTCTTTAAATTAAAATCCAAACCATAATAGAATGGCAAGAAATAAAACACTTAACATTCTCATTATCTTTGGAACACTTATCTTTTTGTTAAAAAATACTTTTCCAAATTCAGAAAAGGAATGGCCAGAGATGAGAAAGTAGTTTTTTGGCATTGAAGAAAATTATCCTCAAGACTCTGGGAAATAAAATTTTGTTATCATCCAAAAGTAGTTACATTTTTAAATATCATGAATGTGAGAGAATTATTGAACAAAGGCAGTATATTGGATTCTATGGGGGATGCTTTATGTATATTTACTCATTCAGTCCTCATACAACATGAGGGTTTTGTCTTTGTGTTGTGAATGTAGAATTGAGGTTCAAAGAGGTGATGTGATTTGTCTAACGTTTATAAAGAACTATTCAGATTGGAACCCTATCATGCTACCTCAAAGTCATATAATGTTGTTGAATGTAAATATAATCTCCCTTCTTGAGAACCCCAAAGTTAAGGTGTTGTAAAATAAATTTTATAGTATCTCCGCTTTAGGTAAGAATTGTTTTCCTGGGCTAGAATCAGGAGCTATTGTAGAACTTTTTCTTTTTTTTCCCAGTGCTGAGGATGGAACCCCGGACTTCAGACCTCATAGGGAAGCACTCTGCCAAGGAATTACTTTTCCAGCCCCCAATAGGATTTTTCTCCCAAATTTTATTAAACTTATTTAGTCTTTCCTTATTTCAATCCATATGCCACTATGTCTCATCAAGCTACTTGATGAAAGTGTACATAATGTATTGTATATAATATCAACAAGTGCCACCTTTTATGTAACTTGTTGGGCAATACCTCTGATTTGCCCCCATAGCCAACCATAGCATCAAGTTTATCTGATGATGTGGAACCATATTTTCCCCAGGGAATAGTAACAATCATAGTAACTGCCATTTGTGATTATGTAATTATTTCTATTCCTTACAACCCTGGGATGTTATTGCTCAACAAAGCAGATGAAGAAAATGGAGTTCTAAGTGGCTTAATAACTAGTTAAAGTGGTAAGGCGTGGAGAGGCTACTTGGCTTCAAAGTTAAATTTGTGTGTGTGTGAATTACAAGTTTCATTACTAATAGAGATGATTTTGTTAGCTTAGTAATCGTCTTTGGCAACTTGATTCATTTAAAGGCTGTGTCATCCAGCTTTCTTTTGTTGTTATAAAATACTTGAGGTAATTATAAGGAAGAAAGATTTATTTCGACTTAGAATTTCAGAGTGCTTGGTAGAACAAAGCTGCTTACCGTGTGGTGGCTAGGAAGCAACGAGATAGACAGAAGGGGGCCTGCTTCCTAATACCCCCTCCCAGGGAATGTTACCCCACCCCAGTGACCTACCTTTCTTCCACTGAGCCCCCAACTCTGCTTCCTCCTAGTAGCACCACAGGCTGGTGACCAGGCCTTTGACAAATGTGCCTTTGGGAGATGTTTCAGATCCAAACAATAACAAAGGGCATTGGGTTCTGTTTCATTTTGGATAACTGTTTTAATAACTGATAAAATTGATTATTAGTTTAGAGGTTTATATGTATTGAAAGAAACTGAATTGTTTCTTTCACATGACTGTTTGCTCGGTTTTCTATAAGGAATGTTTAAGCATTCCCTCTACAGCTAGCTTTTACCAAACTATTACATTTTAGGCTGGTAATAGGAGTAACTAAGAAATTTGTTAATTTTGGTGGCCTTAGTTTGTTTTAAAAAGCGCTTCTCATGAAACTTATACTCTCTGGGTAGCTTATTGTCATTGTTTAGCTTATTGTTATGTTTCAGTCTTAGCATTGTTGACATTTTGGACCAGTAGTTGTAGGGGACTGTCTTGTGCATTGTCTGATGTGTAGCAGCATCCCTGGCCTCTACTCACTAGATGGAGTAGAGTGGCCCCTTTCTCCTCAGTTGTGCAAACAGAAATGTTTAGATGTTTTCAAATATTACAGAAAGGGGGAATAAAACTTCCTCAGGTTGAGGACAATGAGCTATGTAGTAAATTCTGACCAAATAAATGTTAGACTAAGTGTTCTATGAAAGAATCTAAATGGAAAATGAGAAAGTAAGTAGCCACTTCCTGGGGAGGACTTCCTCAGTGTCTGAACCACTTCCACTCCCACAGCACCTTGTGTTTTTCCCTGCCATGGTAATGTCCTCCTAGTGGATTGGGACTGTATAATACTTATGGTCCTATCCTATGTCCAGCTTGATAATAACATGTGTTCTTAAATGAACAAGTGGCTCAATGTTTTCTGTGTTAATTTCTAATTGTGACAATTTTATACAGTTATAAAATGTGCTGTCCACATACCAGAAGAGCCTCAAAATCCAGCCGTCCTATGTATGGAGCCGTCACCTCCTTTTTACACTCATTAATCATTCAGAATGAACCACGATTTGCTATGTTTGGACCAGGTTTGGAAGAACTGAATACATCTTTGGTGTTGAGCTTGATGTCTTCTGAGGAACTTAGTCCAACTGCTGGTTTGCCTCACAGGCAGATTGATGGTAATTTTATGTCTATAGTACATAATAATTCATATACTTTGAACTTGACTATAGTCTTAAAGGCAAATTAACTCATTTTAATTCTTTAGTAGTAAGGAAATATAGTAACTTGGTGCCCTCCTATAGATCCCACTGAACTGAAACAAATTGTGTAGTTATTGTAAGCAGTAAGTTTCCTCTTAATTCCTTAAATTTGTATAATCCAGAATTTAAGATTATATGAAAGTAAATTACATCTTGTCAGGATATTATATTCAAACAGCAGATATCATGTTTATTTTAAGAAAAAGTTATTAGAATAAGACAATCACCATCTATTGCAAAGGATTTTGATATATGTTTGTATATATAAAAAAAAAGCTAAATCATCATCTTCCTCTCTATAAAAAAAGTATTTAATTATTTGGAAAGTTAGGATATGTAATGACCAATTTAACTTAGGCTTTACATATTCATTTATTGCACCTATTAGATGTAGGGATGCAGACATGTAGGGGATAGGAATGGGATCAGTATGGGGAGAATAACAGCACTTTGGATTATTTGACTTTGATAACTCTGTGGAAGATCAAAGAAGAGATGCCTATTATAAGCTATCCATTTGAGTAGAAGCTGCATGAGGCCAGGAATCTTGCCATCTTTGTTCTCAACTGTATCTGTGGTGCCAGGCTATAGTAGGCTCTCCGTATATGTTTTGTGAATGAATGGCTAAATGGATCACTTTATGCACTCAGGTATTAAGAGCAACATCTGAGCTAGAAATTGAGATTTGGGAGTCAAATGGAGTGTATGTGAACTTGGAAGTTTGGGGGGATAGAGAGGAAGATTATGATCTAGGTGCTGAAATCTTCAGTGAATATTTGGGGGAAGGAACTATTTCTTCATAAATGACATGGTTGAGGAAAACAAGATGGTGCTACAGCTGTGATTCTTAAATGGATGGAGTTTTTAAAGAAAGTTTGTGAGTAATGGTTTAGATATGGTATTGGGAGTAAAGAAACATCATTCCCACCTTATTTACTATGAAGTGTGAGAAAATAAGCAATTTTGTTACTTGAGAGTCCATGGCAAGAGAAGTAGCACCTAGGGGCAGGTCAGTTTCAGGTAAGTCCATTAGATGGGGGGAGCATTTTAAGAAGAGATGGAGGCTATGGTAAAATTTGCCAGTTATAAAATGGAAATTCCATTCTCTAGCAGAAGCTGAAGTATTGCTTAAATATGTAACTCTACTTATGCCATAAACTCTACAAGATCAGAGAAGAAATTTACTTCATTGGTGAATAAGTGCAGGACAGTATTAGGACAGGTTGGACGGAGGTTAGATGTTTTAAAAGGACAATTTGGGGGAGTTAAACTGATGAAACCAAAGTTCAGAAACATGGTAGATTTTTTTATTTCCATGATTTCTTGGTGGAGCACCAAAATTGATGGCTAGAGGACCAGGGTCATGTGGTCTGGGATGGTTGCAGTCCCATTATCCAAGAGTCATGACACTGTTTACATGTGTTGCCTAGAATGGTGACATGAAATGGCATGGCATAGCTTATTTAAACAAACAGATTCATTATATGGCAGAGATTAAAGGTATGGAAGCCTGGAGTTGTCTCTAATGAGCTAAGTAGGGGCCAGATTATGTTAAGATATTATTTCTCTATCTGAAGTGCAGTGAATGACTTTGTAAAGAAGAGATGCAGTTAGATAGATATTATTAAGCAATCTCTTCAGCTGCTATCAGAAGGATAGTTGAAGACAAGAGGATATAGGAGACTGGTTAGACTAAAGGATGCAAGCGAGGATAAAGAGGACAGAACTAAGAGGATGCTTACATAGCAAGAAGAGAACATTAATGTAGCAAGAAGAAGAGGTAATTCTCAGAACCTATTTTTCCAGGCAACAAGAAGAAAATCAATCACTGAGTGTTAATCCAGCCAAAGGATGAAAAAAGGTTAACAAAGAGCGACAAATAACAGTGTCAAATGACTCATATATACAATCTAAAAAAATAAAATTCAGCACCTATTATTCTCAGTCACTGTACTGGGAGTTTTACATATAGGATCTCAGTTAAGCCCCATAATAACTTTAAGAAAAATATATTATTACCATTTTTTTATCAAAATGGAAGTGCTCAAGTACATAGCTCTAAGTAGCAAATTCAGGATTCTAAGCTAAGTCTAACTCAAAATATCAGTATATCTGCAGTTTGTGAAAAATGACATGAAGAACCTAGCAGTTCTTTATTCTCTGTTTGTATTTTTATTGCCATGTGAATAAAAGTTGCATACAGCATCTTCTTCAACAAAACATTGCATTTTATTCCAAAGCTATATATAACTTGTCAGAAGTTTTTTTTTTGCTCTTCTTGCTTTCACTGGGTATTTTTTTTTTCAGTTTTATATTTTGCTGTCTTTATTAATGATTTATTTTGATGACTGTGATTTTATACTTTAGGTATTGGATCAGGAGTCAGTTTTCAGTTGAGCAACCAACATAAATTCAACATCCTGATATTGTATTCAACTACCAGGTAAGGTTGACTACTTGGTGGCTCACTTGAAACATTAGGATTGGAACATTTGTGGGGGTTGGAACCTGTTTAGTGTCATAATATGATGTATATTTATTTACATTTTTCTTATAGAAAGGAAAGAGACAGAGCAAGGGAAGAACATACAAGTGCAGTCAACAAGATGTTCAGCTTACAGAGTGAAGGAGATGACCAACAGGGAAACCGGTATGTTGTAATTCCACAGATCCAGAAAGTGTGTGAAGTTGTAGATGGGTTCATCTATGTTGCAAATGCTGAAGCCCATAAAAGTAAGCATTCTCTTATATTCTTTTAAAAAATACTACTGTATTATTCTGTATAAAACAAATAAGAAAATACTTTTTTAGTATTTACTGTAGTATCTTGGGAATATGACTGTCAATTTTACTTCTGATTTTATGAGTGTTACTATTAATATTGGATTCACAAGCCTCTTTATATATTAGGATCACCTGGAGAAATTGTGAAACATATAGTTACCCAATTTTTATACAGCTGGTAGATTGCTATTCATAGACTTGGACTATGCCCTGGACACCTATTTTTTATAAGCACCTGGGAAATTCTTATGCATGTCAAAATTTGATACTATAGTTATATAATGTTTTTGGTTGTATGCTTCTGCATTTTTATTATTGATCTTTTTTCTGTGTCTGACTTATTTAAACAATTTATATAGATGACTATGAAAAATTTTACCTTTGTTTTTACCTCAATAGTGGAGGTATGGGAATAGTGTGTTAATTAAGTAGATTAATTAATTATGTTGGTGAGTTGATGACATTCTCCATGTATTCTGAATAATTGCCATTTACAATGCTATTTAGTCATGAAGCTATGACATCATTGGGCCATGAGCCAGTATTATAATTTTTCCCAAATCCTTTGTGAACAAGAATGTAAATATATAATAAATATCTGTTGTATATTGTTTATATGTAGTGAACACTATTATATGTATAAGTTCTTTAATACATTGTTTTGAATTTCTCCTGAATTTATTTCTCCTATAATCCATTAGGCATGGAAGCTATTATACTTTGCAAATCTAGAGAAATTATTCATAAGAAAATATAAATTATTTTTGTTTTTACTTGGATGTCTATAAAAGGAAAACTTTGAAACAAATATAAGATACATTCATTTATTCAGAAACAGTTGTTGAAGTCAAATGCTATATTTAGTGCTAGAGATAAAATTGAGAACTGAAACAGACACCCTACTTTTATCTAGTTTCCCAGTCTGATTCTTATATTATTCTATAAAACAAGTAGAAATATAAATTTTAAAAAGTTGCAAGAGGGCTGAGGATGTGGCTCAAGCGGTAGCGCGCTCACCTGGCATGCGCGGGGCGCTGGATTAGATCCTCAGCACCATATACAAATAAAATAAAGATGTTGTGTCCACCAAAAACTAAAAAATAAATATTAAAAAATTCTCTCTCTCTCTTAAAAAAAAAAGTTTCAAGATACAAAGATAATCTGCACTCACCAGCTCTTTTCCAGTGGCCTCCACTAAATGCTCATATGAAGGTTAGTGGTAGGGGCAGGAGGCCTATGAGTTACCCTCCTTTATGATACAGTCAGGCATGTGATGATTAGCTGCTATTAAAGGATAGGTATATCCTCCTGTTTTCTATATTCCTTTGTAATAAAAGCCAAAGCTCTCTGCCACCAGGATGGGATTAGAAATCCCCCTGCTTGTTGATTCCTGGCAGAGGTTAACTGTTGCTGCAGAGAAATGAAGAAGCAAAAGCATTCTGCCCCAGGGGGCGGGATAGGAATCCCCCCTTTATTAAGGATTCTGCATTTATAAAAGTTATGTTTGCTGATTCTGGGGGAGGACAGGAAGTTTGCACTGAAGACTTTTCTACCAATATAGGGCAGAATTTACTAGACATGCCAGAACACCAAAAAAGCTTTTACCACTGAGGCTCAAGTACGCAGGGTCTACCCACGACTGAGGCTGGTGCAAGAAAACAGAAGTCTCAGCAGCCCTACCAAGTAACAAACAATAATAACTACTTCAGGGGTTGAGGGAAGGGTGTGGAGAGGCTTTCTCCCCTTCCTCCTTAGTTGCATAGGTATGAAGATCTAAAAGCTGAGGGGAAAGCAAAAACTCTGAAAAGAGAAACTTACATTCCAGTTCTTGCACTAAGAACAAGGTAGCAGCAGTCCTACTCTGTAATGACTGACTGGTTTGACCCAAATCACTGCTTACCAGAAGGAGGAGGAGGAGAAAGATGTGGGGACAGGAAGGAGGAGAGGGAGAGGGAGAAGAAGGAGTAGAAGGAGCAAACATGTTTCTGGGAGTAAATCCTCTTTACTGCAGTCTACTGCTCTTCTACATAAAACATCTAATATTAAATCTAAAACTCCTAAGACAAAAACAAACAAAAAATCAAAGCAGGATGCGGTATCATGTGCCTGTAGTTCTAGCTACACAGGAGGCTGAGGTGGTAGGATCACTTGAGCTCAGGATTTCAAGACAAGCCTGGCCAACTACCAATACTCCTTCTCAAAAGATTAAAAAATAAATAATAAATAAATAAATAAATGTCAAATTATCAATAGATACGGCAGCCAGTTGAGTCAGACCCAGAGACAGACTGTATGCTGGCACTCTCAGAAAGGGACATTAAAATAATTATGATTAATGTGTTAAAAGATATAAAGGAAAAGTTGAACAATATGTGTGAACAGATGAGAATTTTCAGCAGAAAAAAGGAAGTTATTTTATAAAAGTAAAATAAGAATGGTAGAGATAAAAATATAGTAAACAAGTGAACAGTTCTTTCAGTTGGTTTATCAACAAAGGAAAGAAATAGTGAACCTGAAGATAGGTCACTGAGAATTCAAGTTAAAACACAAAGTGAAAAAATAAAAATAAAGTAAGAAACAGAAGCATCTGAGAGCTGGGAAAACCTATCTAGTGATCTAACTTAGGCATCGGCAAACTTCTTCTTAAAAGAATAGGTAGTTGGGAAGGAAGAGGTGATGGGAATAGGAAAGACAGTAAAATGAATTGGACATAACTTTCTTGTGTTCATATATGAATACATGATCAGTGAAACTCCACATCATATACAAACAAGAATTGGGTCCTAATTAGAATAAGGTATACTCCGTATATGTATAATATGTCAAAATACATTCTATTGTCAAGTATATTTAAAAAGAACAAATAAAAAAATGCCTTTCAAAAAAATCCTGCTTTGATTTTTTTTGTCTTAAGAGTTTTAGATTTAATATTAGATGTTTTATGTTTTAGGCATATGAGTTATATAATTTTTCTCACTCAAGTTTGCTGTTTTAGTGTGAAAGCAGTTATAGACAACATTTAAATGGATAGATATGGCTATTTTCCAATCCAAATTTATTTGCCAAAACAGATCTGCAGAATGTAGTATGCTAACTCTAGTTTAACTTTTGTGCAATTGGAGCCTCAAAATGTAAAAGGAGAAAAAATAGGAAAAAAATAAAATTTTGAATAATGACCAAAATTATTTCAAAATAGCTAAAAGACAAAAAACCACAGATTAAAGATGCTCAGAGAACTCTGAGCCAGATAAGTACAAAGAGAATTACATATTAATCAAACTGATGAAAACCATAAATAAATAAAATATCTTGAAGGCAGTCAAGAAAAAAAGTAAATATACATATAAAAGACTGGAGGTAACAATGACAGCAAACTTCCTGACAGAATTACTGCAAGACAAGAATGCAACAGAGAAAAAAATATCCAATATTCAGCAAAATTATTTGTTCAGAAATGGAGCAAATAGAGGCTTTTTCAGAAAAGAAGTTGAATGTTTTAGTTCCTTCGTGTTGCTATGAAAGAATACCACATACTGTCAAATTTATAAAGGACAAAACACATTTTGTAGAGTTCTGGAAGCTGAGAAATTCAACATCAAGGCACTAGCCTCTGAAGTCTGGTGAGGACCTTCTTGCTGTATTTCAAGATATGGAGAGTGGAAGGGAAAGTGGAACAAATACGATGTCCTCACATAGCAGAAAAACAAAACAAAGAGAACCCTCTCCCATAAACCCTTGTTATGCTGACATTAACTCATTCATTAGGGCAGAACTCTGAATATCCCTGCCACCAAAGTCTCTACCTCCCAAGACACTTGCACTGGAGATTAAATTTCCAACACATGAATTTTGGGGGACACATTCAAGCCAAGCACTGAGAAAATTCATCGCCAACAGATCTGCATTATAAAAAATCTTAAAGGAACCTCTGCAGACCAAAGAACATGACACCAGATAAAAATTTGCATCTATAAGTAGAAACAATACAGTTGCATATCTGATATTTTTTCTGATTTAATTTTTCATAATTATTTAAAGGAAAAATATTGGATTATGGATATATGCTATTTTAAAGTAAAGTATAAGATAATAGAACATAGGCAAAATTGAAGTATATTATTGGGTGTTTCTTCTGTATGTACAATCATATTGTATTACTTAAAGGTAAATTATTACAATTTAAAAATGTTTATTGTATGGCTGGGGATGTGGCTAAGTGGTAGAGTACTACTTGCCTAGCATGTGTGAGGCCCTAGGTTCAATCCCCAACACCTTATCAACAACAGAAAATGACTATAGATCCTTGATCAACTACTGAAAGTTTTTTTAAAAATTTTTTCTATTGTAGATGGATACAATATCTTTATTTTGTTTATTTATTTTTATGTGGTGCTGACAATTGAACCCAGTGGCTCACACGTGCAAGGCAAGCACTTTACTGCTGAGCCGCAACCCCAGCCCCATGAAAGTTTAACAGAGTTATAACTAAGTAACCAATAGTGAAATCTTTAAAAAACAAACAAACAAAACTCAACCACGAAAGAAGGCAGGCAAAAAGGGAAAAATGAACAAAGAACTGATGGGAGAGTCAAATCCAAGAAGGAAATACTAGATTTAAGTGTACCATATTGATAGATAGTTACATTACATCTTTTATTCATTTTCAGTTGTATATAACAAACTACTTCAAACAACACCTGGTAGCTCACAGTTCTGTATAACAGAAGTCTAGGCAAGGTAGGAGTAGGTTTTCTGCTTATGGTCTCATGGACTGAAGTTAGAGTACAGATGGACTACATCCTTGTCTTGAGGCTCTTGGGAAGAATCCACTCCCAAGGTCACTTGAGTTAATGGCTAAGTTCAGGTGCTCATTGTGAAAGAACTGGAGTCCTTGTTTTCTGGCTGGCTGGCAGCTGAGGCTGCTCTCATCTTCTAGAGGCCACCTACATTCCTTGCCCTGTATTCCCTCCCATCTTCAAATCCAGAATCTCTCTTCATCCTGTCTCACTGGGAAGAACCCCTCATAAAGGCTTACTAATTAAGCTCAGCCTCTTTACTAAAGTCAACCGTGTCCTAAAGCTTAGCAATATCTCATCATATTTGCATGCTTCTCCACCACTCAAGGGAAAAGGGTTATGCAAGGGTCATAGGGTCATTTGAGAATTAAGATGCTTAATTCTAAGTATCTTAACCTAAAATGTAAACACTCCAATAAATGATAATCAATTTGAATTAAAATATTGGACCAAATATATGCTAAAATTTTGAAATTAAGACTTTTGAGGGCTGAGGTTGTGGCTCTGTGGCAGAGTACTCATCTAGCACACATGAGGCACTGGGTTCAATCTTCAGCACCACATAAAAATGAAATAAAGATTTTGTGTCCACCTACAACTAAAAAATAAATATTAAAAAAAAGACTTTTGGAAGAGAAAGGACAGTGACAGCTACAGAATTTGTGAGGGAAAATATCTATATAAAAGATATTTACATTTAAACTCTAGATACTTCCAAACAGTATTGTGATTTTTTTCCCTCCTCTGGCTTAACCTAAATTCCTATCCTTGAAAGATTCCTTAATCTAATTTTATGACAAAGCAATAAAGCCCAGAAAGAGGCATTTTGGTCTGGAGCTTGGTAAAGTTTTTTCCCTTACTTGGTTCATTTTAAATTTAATTTTATGATTTTAAAAATCATTAGAGGTTATATAAATTAAAGGTTTTGATTTACATTTCTTAGGACATGAATGGCAAGATGAATTTTCTCACATCATGGCAATGACAGATCCAGCTTTTGGATCTTCAGGAAGACCAATGCTGGTTTTATCTTGTACTTCTCAAGCAGATGTAAAAAGAATGCCCTGTTTTTATTTGGCACATGAGCTGCATCTCAATCTTCTAAACCACCCATGGATGGTAAGGTCTTAACTTCTTTGGTGACAAAAATATCATTTTCACTCTATTATCTATTTGATTTTTGTATTAGTTTTCTGTTATTGTAACAAAATACCTGAGATAATCACTTAGAAGATCTCTCTCACAGTTTTGTAGGTTTCAGTCCAGGGTCAGTTGTTCATGTTGCTTTTGGGCCTGTGGCCTGGCAGTAGATCATGGTGGAAGTACATGGCAGAGGATACTCATCCACCTCATGGCCAGGAATGAAACAGAAAAAGGAAGACATTGGAATCCCAATATCCCCTCCAAGGGCATGTCCCCAGTGATAAGAAGACTTCCTACTAGGCCTCAACTCCTAAAGGTTCTTTCTATCACTTTGCAGTAGTACCATGGCCTAGCAACTAAGCCTTTGAAATTTGGGGGTCACTTGTCCAATTAATAAAAGTTTTATCCTTTCACATTCATCCTCTTCTATGAAACAGCATTCTAAAGTCAATTTTAAGAGCTTTATTGATGGGAGATGTTTGAATTGTATTAATATCTCAGTTAGCCAATTGTTCCCCACTTTCCTCTCCTGTCACAGAAACAGAGAGATAGTAATTGGGTATGGTTCGGGATGCATGAAGCCCTGGGTTTGATCGCAGCATTGCAAAAAAAAAGACAAAACAAACAGGTTTCTGAATATAGTTTATTACTTTGCAAAGTTTATTTTAATCATGGAATTCTTTCTTTGAATGAAACCTGACATGAAAACCTATGAGACAACAGGTAAAGAAATGATGAAGTTGGAAATGTTTTCATGGAAAATGTTAGCAGATTTTATTCCATCTTCCCTCATATCTTCCCTGGAGCTCCAGAGACTCTTTGGAACGTGTGTTGAAGACTTCCAGAATAGTGGGAGTTTTAGCTCTACTAGTCAGAGGAGTAGCTATTTCCCAGACTCTTTTTATTTAAAAAATATATTTTTAAACTAATACTAACATGAAAATTATACTCATTAATGGATACCATGTAATGTTTTAACACAAGTATGCATTGTATAATGTTTAAATCAGGTTAAACATATCATTCTTTTCAAATGTTCTTTATAATGAACACATTCAAAATCCATTCTTTTAGCTTTTTGAAATGTAGAACACATTCTTGTTATCTGTCATCACCCTACTATGCTGCAGTGTGCAGGCCGGAACTTCTTACTTGTATCTAATTGTAGCATAGCATCAATTGCTAAATCTTTCCCCATTCCTCCCTACCCATACTATCCCCAGCTTCTAGGTCTATTCTCAACTATGAGATTAAATTATTTTAGATTCCACATGTGAGATTATGTAGTTGTTGTCTTTCTGTGCCTGGTTTATTTCGTGTAACATGATCTCAGTTCATGTTGTCACAAAGGACAAGATTTCATTTTTTATGGTAGAATAGTACTCTGTTATATGCATATATCACATCTTTATCATTTATTAGTTGACTCTAAATGTGTTGGCAGTCAAGACTAGTACTTCAGTGAACATGGGGGTGCAGATATCTCTGACATACAGATTTCCTTTCCTTTGGATATATTTGCAGGGGGATTGCTGGATCATGTAGTAGTTCTATTTTTAATTTTTTGAGGAACCTACATGCTGTTTTCTTAAACTTATATTCCTAGGAACAGTAAGTCAAGGTTCCCTGTTCTCCACCCATTGTAGAAATCTTTTACTTCCTTAATTAAATTGATTCCTTTGTATATATTTTTTTAGCTATTGCAAATGAGAGTCCTTTAATGATTCTTTACTCAGAAATCTCATTATTGGTATATAAAAATGCTGTTGATTTTATATCCCTCAATTTTACAGAATTCTTTCAGCATTTCTAATGATCATATAGTGGAGGTTTTAGGTTTTTCTATATATATAGAACTATATCATCTACAAATTGGAATAAATTGAATAAATGGGAATAAATTGACTTGTTCCCTTCTTATTTGCAAGGATTTTATTTTAAAAAAATTTTAAATTTATATCTCTTGCCTAATTGCTTTGGCTAAGCCTTTCATTGTGTTATTGAATAAAAGCCTTCTAGTACTATGTTGATAAGAGTGGGCATCTTTGTTTTGTTCCAGATTTTAAAGGAAAAGCTGAAACTTCAGTGTAATGTTGGTTGTGGGTTTGTTATGAATAGCTTTTATTATACTGAGGATGATCGTTCTATACCTAATTTGTTCAGTTTTTATCATGAAGAGATGTTGAATTTTATTGAATGTTTTTGTGTATCTATTGCATAATCATATGATTTTTGGGTTTTTGATATGATGCAATATATTTATTGATTTATATATTTTGAACCATCTTTGCATTCCTGGGATACATCCCACTTGATCATAATGAATAATCATTTTGAGGTGCTATTGAATTCAATTTGCTAGTGTTTTATCAGGAAATTTTCCATCTTTTTTCATTAGATATTGATCTACAGTTTTCTTTTTTGTTATTGTTTTCTGCATGTCTGGTTTTGGTATTAGGCAGTGCTTGTCTTGTGGTTTAGAAGAATTCATTCCCTTTCAATTTGTTGAAATAGTTTGAAGAGAGTTGGTTCTTCCTTAAAAGTTTTATCGACTTTAGGAGTAAAGCCATCTGATCCTGGGCTTTCCTTTGTTGGAAGACTTTTCAGTACTGATTTAATCTCAGTGTTCATTATTAGACTGTTTAGATTTTCTGTATCTTCATTGTTCAATTTTGGTTGATTTTATGTGTTCAGAAGTTTGTCTATTTCTTTAGATTTTCCAATATGTTGGCATATAGTTGTTGTATTTCTGTGGTATTAGTTATAATCGTCTCTCATTTATTTATTTGCATCTTAGAGAAAAGATACAAGAAAATATTTTTTATCTAAGTATTCTATAAGACAGCACTTGAGTAACTTACCCAAAATTTATTGAGATATTCTAAATTCTTTTTGTTAAAGTGTCTAGAAAATATCCCTCAACATCACAGGATTTTGGACTCAATTTATCACTGACAACATTCTCTCTTATCTGCTCATAGGTCCAGGATACGGAGGCTGAAACTTTAACTGGTTTTTTGAATGGCATAGAGTGGATTCTTGAAGAAGTGGAATCTAAGCATGCAAGATGATCCTTCTTTTAGACCTTGGGAACTGAAACCATTTGAAATTTGTCACTAAGGTCATTATGTGTATATTTTCTCAGACAACTACCTTTGTCCTACCTTTTGTAGGTGGGCTTTATATTGTACAGCTGCAACAGTTGGATTTTTATATTATGTTTACTTTTTACCTTAAATCAATTACAAGAAGAGTTTCAATCCTAGTATTTAGCCCCAAATGAACCTTTAAATTTTTTGATAAATTTTATATTTTATGTCTTTACAAAAACATTAAATTCTGGAAAAAAATAAGCCTGTATTACACTTATTCCTTGTGGTTTCTATACTTTTCAGTACAAAGATTTTCCTAGAGGGAAATAGCAAATTTTCTAAGCTTCCCAGAAGGTCTTTTCAAGAACTCATAACTAGTTATCAGAAAGGAAGCTTTTTGTTATCCATTTTTAATAGTTCCACTTTATAAAGAATAAAGCTTTTACTAGAACTATATTTAATATTATGACCATACAAACTCTCTTCTTTTCTGAAATAGTAGAGAGCAAGATAATATTTAATACTAGTTCAGTGAAAAACAGCTTTACTTGGCAGTTATTATTTTCAAATAATTTTAAATGATGTTATGGTACTAGGTTAAATTTTATTTCATATCTATAGAGAAAACATTCCAGAGACTTACATGTATATTATTACCTTCTACAAACTGCTTGCATTTTGCAGAGGAAACACCCTACTATCTTATTAGAACTGGAGGATTTTAAGATTTTATTAAAGGGAGCATAAATATCTACATGTTATTTATGTAAATTCTATATTTAAATTAATTTCTGTTTTTGGAGAGAAAATTTGTGACATATAATTGCATTTAGTGCATTTAGTCTTTTTTAGCAGACCCACTCTCCAAATAACCCATTGACCTATTAATCCAATCATGAGGACAGAGCCCTAATCATCCCTTAATGATCTCACTTGGTCATACTTCTTAATATCTCATAATGGAGATTATATTTCAACATGAGTTTCACAGGAGACAGACCATATTAAAATTCCTAGCAGTGATATTATTCTAATTTTTTAGGTGAAGAAATTGAGACAGAAAAGTGAAGAATTCTGTTATAATTCAGTTCATGCCATTGTGTATCTAGTAGAGAGGTCGTGAAGCCTGAAAATCTCTTCACTTAAGTAAAAAAGAGCTATAAGCTATTACAATCGTGAATTAAAAAGTGATTTCCTGAATTCTATGTTTCACTAAATTCTCATCATTTCCCTAGTAGCACTATCTAGGATGACTAAAAGTAAAAATAATTATATATGCAACCTCTGGAGAGCAAGATACAAATTCCAGCCATGCCAACTCTTTATCTGTATGACCATGAAGTCTTAAATTCTGAATCTCAATTTTCTCATGTACAGAAGGAGGATCACTGTGTTTACCTTGGACTTAAGTTTTACCTTTACCAAGAACTGCCTGTAAGCATCTTGGGAAATAACTTTTCCTCTGTGGGAAGGCTTCAGTTTGACACTAACATGCTCAGTGTTTATGGATTTTTCAGTGTCATTCTCTGAAATTATTTCCTCCTGTGTGACAGCTGTTTCATAGGTATGTTTAACTAGTCATGGAAAAAATAAGCATCAGTGTTTAATCACCCAAATGCTATTATATTACCACTATTGAAAAGTAATGTGAAAAATGTGCACCCCTCTAAATGGTGTATGAACTACATGTATTAATTAGTAAGTGTGGTCTAAGTTGTGTCCTAACAAATTCATATATTAAAGTCTTATCTCCCTGTATACCTCAGAATGTGACAGTATTTATAGATAGGACCTTTAATTAGGAGGTATGTATGGCACATTGGTAGGCACTAGTCCAATGTGACTGATGTCCTAGTAAGAAGGAGAGGCACCAGAGATGACAGTGCACAGAGGAAAGACCACATGAGGGCAAAGCAAGAAGACTGCCTTTTGCGAGCAAAAAGGAGGGGCCTGAGAGGACATCAGATCTGCTGACACTTCAGTCTTGGACTTCTATCCTGCAAATCTGTGAGAATTTCTGTTCTTTAAAATAGTCTATAGTATAATTGTTATGGCATCCCTAGAAAACTGATACCATAATTAAATGCTATTTTGTAATGATCTTAGGCTGTTATTTTGTAGAAATTATATAGAAGTCCTTATTAATATATCAAGGTATTCAGTTCTGCAACTGCAATTAAATTAAGCACATGTTAAGGGAATATTTTATTTATATTCAAGGAATATAATTTTCCATTTTATTGTTGAAATAATTTTCCTAAACTATGAGAATATCTCATAATGGAGATTATATTTCAACATGAGTTGAAATATAATCTATGTAATTCCTCTACTGAGAAACTTTCAATGGTTCACCATTTCTAGGATAAGGACCTAATCTGAAATCATTGTAGAAAAGAGAAGCTTTATCATTTTTTATTACTTTTAGTAACATAATAATGTGTATAGCTTGTGAAATTATGATTATTACCATGATGATGGACTGTATTTGAGACGACCTCTCAAAAGGTTCCATTTCTTCAAGATCCATAGCACCTCCTAGTACTATTACTGGAGACTAAGACTTTACACATGGACCTTTAGAGAACACTATCCATATTCCAACCATAGCATAGGCCATTCTGTTTGAGAAATTTTTAACAATACAACTATGTAAAGAAATATCAAGTGAGAATTATAAAAATGACTATTTTTTTTCTGTTTTGTTCCTTCCTTACTTTATTTTTATCAGTAAAAGCAGTGGTTGGCACATAGTGAATGCTGGGTAGATATTTTTAGAATGAATGAAAAGTGAATAAATAAATGTAGCCATGAAAAATAATGCTTTAAGGGATGAGGAAATATCAGAGGAAGGTACATTTTTCAGTTGTTCTGTGTCTGGGATTCACTGCTTACCAGGAAAGTGCGTGAGAGGGAATTCAATATCAGAATCACAGAGACACAGAAATTTGGGTATTTTGAAGAGCCAGGCCAGTAGTACCAGTGGGAAACTGTTCACCAAAGAGGGGAAGGGTGACACAGGCAAAAAGAGAGAAAAACTATGGAAAAAATTAGCATGGGGAACCTTTGGAATAGAGAGGCAGTGTGATCTTAACTGACCCAGAAGCAGCATGTAGAGTTAGTGTTTGAAAAGTACTCTGTATTTCTTTGTTGGCCAGTGGAGCTGAGGTGGGGAACCATCTCAAAGTGGCCACATGTTAGCTTTCTGCTGCTGGAACCCAAGAGATTGTAACAAGTGGTATCAGACTGTCCCAGCAAGTGCCTGCTGTGAGGTACAGAGTGTGCCTGGCAGGATTTGACTGAGATGGGGAAAAAAAGGATTGTGTCCAGGGAACTCAGGCTAGGGATACAGAGCAGAGTGTGGCTTGCTTGCCCTTTGGGTCTGGCAGCTTGTGGGATCAGTGAGAGAAAACCCAGAATCTTCACAGGTGGGCACATTATACTTGGGACCTGGTCCTGTCATGACCGCATTTGTGGGTGGTGGAAAGTGAGAGACCTGCAGAGTTAGTTGCTCTCTCCTACAAGTGCAGTTCTCAGGAGGCCCCTGAAGTTCTGATATTTCCCAGTATAGATGGATACCTGCTTGGCAATAGAGTGGGTGAAGCTTTTCTTTCTAGAGCAGATACTGCTGGCAAAATTACAAGGTCAATCAGGGCTAAACACTAGCTATTGGACTTCACATTTAGAACTCTACATCAGCCCTGCCCTGGGAGTGCATTTTAACTAGTTTGACCAGACAAAACTCCAATTTTCACTACTTCCCATTCTGTCCTACCTTATATTGATGAGGAGGGAAGCTGAGAGCTTTTACAACCAACTTCAGTTCCAGGCCACTCCAACCATCAGCTTAGTGAGCAACTCAACAAGACAGGTTTAGCAATACCCAGCCATTGCTCTGTCTAAGAGCTGTACACAGTCCAAGAAAAAACAGAACAAAGGGAAGTAGGCAAGGGTAGTGAACATCCATTCTTCTCAACAGTTTTGACTACCTCAGTGGAGAACAGTGCCTTTATTTTTCGCTAAGATTTTTTTCCCTTCTTTTCTGTATTGTGTGTGTATGCACGTGCACACACACATGCGTTCTTGCTGTGCTGATTTGTTTGTGGATACATATATATATGTATATGTGTACTTTTCATCTCTTCATTTTTATCATTTTTTTTACCCATTTGTTATTTCATCTTATTTTGACTTTAGAGGGTTAGGGGTTTTTGTTTGTTTTGGTTTGACTTTTTATTTTATTTTTGTTTCTCTTATCACTCCTTCTCTCCTTTCTTCCCCTCCAATAGCCAATTTCTCTCATTCTCATTTTATTTGTTTAGTTACTTCTTTTTAAAAAATTTTTTTAAGTTGTAGATGAACACAATATCTTTATTTCATTTATTTATTTTTATGTGGTGCTGAGAATTGAACCTAGTGCCTCACACATACCAGGCATGTGCTTCACCACTGAGCCACAACCCCAGCCCATATTTAATTATTTTTTTACTCCCTCTTTATATATATATATATATATATATATATATATATATATATATATATATAGCCATCACTTGCTACCTCCTTCTTGCTTTTCCTCTGTTTACTTTTTTAATACTTTAAACTTTTGCCTTCATATTCCATTTTCTTTTCTCTTAATAAACTGTAATTTTACTATCTTTTAGAACTATTTCATTTCTATAATTCCTGCCTCTACCATTCATGGTATTGTGGTTATTAGTACTATGGAGGGAGTAGTTAATACCTGGTCTTTGTTTTCATGCTAGATATAATTCATGACGTGTTGATGTTGCTATTGTTAAATGCTGACCCTGCTATTTCTCTTTTAGTAGTAATTGGTGTTGTTGATGTCATAGTAGGCACAGATCAGTTATCGTAATTCTGTATAATGATCAGTACTCCACAACTCAGCCGAGTGACAGCACACCTTGCTCCACACACAAACCATCCATGACGAAGCTTCAACAATACTTTAACACATACACTAGGGGGACAAAACTCCTAAACCAATGACCAGGCCCCAAATAGGAATGGAAATAAGGGGGTCTTGGACATTTACTCCTCAGCAAAATCAAAGAAAGATTCCAGAACAATAGATAAGGTGAATCCATAGTGTTGCAGTAGTCCTCCAAGAATGAATTAAACTAGCAGTTCTGCGGTAGCAAACTAAATGGCATTAGCATTTGAAAATAACACTTGGATTACATTGAGGCTATGTGTTGGGACTAAGAGATACCGACAACATAGGACTTATTACAAAAA